GCTCGGGGTACACCCAGGGCTTGTAGCCGGGGTCGTGCCGCCGCTTCCACTCCGGGTACTTCAGCCCAGCCTTGTAGATCTTCTTCATGGCCTGAGGGCACAGCAGGGATGGGGTTTGGGCTGCTCTGGGCTGTGGGCACAGCTCCCAGCACCCCAGTGCAGGGTTTGGAGTGCTGGTATGGGATAGGGGCCTGGCTGCCCCAGCAACGTGCCCAGTGCATGCCCTGTGTCACCCAGCACTCATCCTGGGAGCTCTACATCACTGAGGATCCATCCTGTGAGCCCTGGATTGCTCAGCACCCATTCTGCAGGTTCTGGGTCATCCAGCACCCATTCTGAGAGTTTTGGACTACCCAGGACCCAGGCTGTGAGCCCTGGATCACACAGCACCCATCCTGTGAGCCGTGAATTATCCAGCACCCATCCTGAGAGCCTTGGATTACCCAGCACCCATCCTGCAGGTTCTGGGTTACCCAGCACCCATCCTGTGAGCCTTGGATTATCCAGGACCCATTCTGTGAGCTCTGGATCACTCAGCACCCATTCTGCAAGCTCTGGGTCATCCAGCACCCATCCTGAGAGCCTTGGATTACCCAGGACCCGTCCTGTGAGCTCTGGATCACCCAGCACCCATTCTGCAAGCTCTGGGTCATCCAGCACCCATCCTGAGAGCCTTGGATTACCCAGGACCCATCCTGTGAGCTCTGGGTCTCCCAGCACCATTCCATGAGTTCTGGGTCATCCTGCATCCCTCCTCAGAGCCCTGGGTCACCCACCCTTCCCCCCTCCCCGGTAATTTGGGCAGCTCGTCCCTGCTTCCCAGGACCCCCATCCCCTCCTTACCTTGGGTGCCACAAACTGGGACACGCGGTTCACCACCCACTTCGGCAGCGACCCTGCAAGAGCCCAAAGCTCTGTCACCAGAGGAGCAGGCCTAGCCCCAGGGGAGGCACCACAAGCCTGCAGCACCCCCAGGGCTGGCGTGGGCACCCCTGCATCCTCGGGCTGCCCCCATTCCCAGGTGCCTGGGTGGTGGAGAGCTATCTGGATATGCATAGATAATGTAGCGATGATGGGAGGGCTTTAGAATGAGTTTGTGGAACTAATTCTGCCGTTGGATTTTGAAAAAGAGGTTATTCTATAAAAGTAGTTGTATTACTTTTGAATTGATAGAAGTTTGTGACTATTGCAGATGCAGAACACCAGGTCAGAGTTACTCTTTTTCTAATTAATACCATGTCTTCCTACATGACTCCTGGGCTTGAGCCTACCTTCTGGAAAGCCTTGAGCTTACCTTCTGGAAATAATTCTGCAGCATTAAAAGACATACAATAAACCTGCATAGCAGAGACACCCATTTGCTGACACGCAGGATCCCAAAGGCTTTAAGCCATGATCCTACAAACTAAAATTTGAGTTCCACTGACTGGACAGTAGTTCTTACGACTGGGAGGATCAGAGATTAGCAGACAGATGGAACCTTTTTAGGCTGGAGAAGGGAGGGGGGAAAACAAAAGTGGCATAATATAAAATCAGAGCCAGGGGGGTGAGCCCTGGGTGAGGGGCACTCACCTCGAGGGTCCACCTGGGTGAGGTAATAGAGGATGCAGGCGCCGTCCCCGTTGGCCTTGATCAGGTACCCAGTCTGCAGGGACACAGCCCTCACGAAATCCTTGCGGGGTGGGTATTTCTGTGGGGAGATTCCAGCACCTCAGAGCCTGCCCAGCCCTGCCTGTGCCCACAGACAGCCCTGCCAGGCCTGGGGGCAGCCAGGGCTCACCGGGTGCTTGACGCTGTAGTTGATGATCATGTAGTCATTGCCCAGGGGCAGCCAGGAGCGCAGCGTGACGAAATCCCGGTTCTTCAGGGGGCTGGGGCACTTCCCTGCGGACAGATCCCATTAGCCCCAGCCCTACGGCCCCACACACACTCAGGAGGCTGGGGAGGGGCCCGAGGGTCTCGGGGGTGCTCACAGGAGTAGTATCCCACATCAGCGTTGACGGTGAGGCGGCCGATGTCGTAGGTCTCGATCATGTTGGAGTCCCACTTGCTGCGGTAGCGGGTGTCGTGCAGCACGTCATAGAGCGTCTCTGCAGGGACGTCCTTGCACGAGATGCGGGTCTGTGGGGAGAGGGGCAGCACCAGCCTGGGCTGTGCCCACTTTGGGCTGTCCCCTGTCCCTGGGCCATGGAGAATGGCACCAGGATTTTGGGCTGTCCCATATCCCCGTGCTATGGAGGATGGCACCAGGATTTCGGGCTGTCCCTGTGCCATCGAGGATGGCACGAGGGCTGTCTCCTGTCCCACTGCGATGGAGAATGGCACCAGGATTTTGGGCTGTTCCTATGCTATGGAGGATGGCACGAGGACTTTGGGCTGATCCCTGTCCCTGTGCCATGGAGGATCCACCAGAGCTTTGGACTGTCCCATATCCCTGTGCCATGGAGGATGGCACCAGGACTTCGAGCTGTCCCATATCCTTGTGCTATGGAGGATGGCACCAGGATTTCAGGCTCTCCCATTTCCCTGTGCCATGGAGGATGCCATGAGGACTTTGGGCTGTCCCCTGTCCCTGTGCCATGGAGGATGGCATGAGCACTTTGGGCAGTCCCGTGTCCCCGTGCCATGGAGGATGCAGGACAGTCCCTGCTGCGGGACACCCCCGGAGCCACCGCGGGGCTGGAATGACCCTCACATCGATGATCCCGCTGGTCCAGGCTTTGATGCCTGTCCCCTACCCCATGTCCTTGCAGGGCAAACAAAGGGGTGCCCGTGTACTTCATGGTAGTTTTGGGTGTGGGGTCCTATCCTGGTGGGTTTCAGGCCCACTTTAGGGGGGTTTTGTGTCCACCCCCGGGGGGTTTCAGGCCCACTCTAGGGGGGTTTCAGAGCCACTCCTTGGGGGTGTTTGGGCTCTCTCCCGGGGGG